AAACGGAGGGATGAGACCCATTCTCGACTTGTTCATGTTCAGCAATTTGATCATGGGGAGACAATTCCACATGCTGACAAACAACTGCTGGAGAACTTCACCAGAACGACTGGTTTTCATCTCCATGGATCTGAAGAGCGCATATTTTCACATTTCCATCATTCTGAAAAACCCCACGCACGTTCTCAAAATGCGTGGAGATGGCTCTGCAGTCATTACACATGGCAGGAATGAGAATTCTTTTTATCTGGACCATCTGCTCTTATTAGCTCGGTCCAGTTAGAAAGCAGTCACACAGACCAAAACGCTAGTGTTACACCTGCTAAACCTGGGGTTTCTGTAAACTGGGAAAAACTTCCGTTCTTCCGTCCCGGATGATTGTTTATCTGGAAGTGGAGCTAACTCAACTACAATGAGAGCCCGTTTATCACAACTGAGAGCCGAAGCTCTATCAGCTCAGCTCTGCCGTGTCAAACCCTGCAGCATAGTGACAGTTCTGCCTGTCATGCGACGTCTGGGACGATGTCATTGGCCCACATCGTGGTTCCGCTGGGCCTACTTCACATGAGACGCCTTCAGAGATGGTTCGCCCACCTGCGCATAGATCCTGTGCACCAAAAGAGGCAGATTATCTTTGTGCCCCCCTCCGTGAGAACCGATCTTAATCACTGGGGAAACCCCCCTCATTCTGTCAGAGGGAGTTCCCATCAGCAGGCCTACGTCACACGTCTCGGTTTTCACAGACGCCTTCCTGTCAAGCTGGGAGGAATGTGTCTGTCCCAGGCAGTGGGAGAACAGTGGCTGGACCACATGTCGCTTCACATAATGTGCTAGAATGTTTCACGGCCTGAAACATGACTGAAACATGCCCCTGCTGCGTTATCAGCATTTCTGATCCACACAGACAACAAAGTGACGGCAGCTTACATAAACCGTCAGGGAGACGTGCGCTCACCCCAACTGTTACGCATCGCAAAATAGCTGTTGTGAGGGGCACACAAAAACCTGCTCTCCATCAGAGCGGTGTACATTCCCAGCGTCCTGAACAGGCGAGTGTCTGGCAGGCTCCCACACTCTCAGTCTTTAAGTCTCGCTTGAAGACCCACTTCTATTCTCTTGCCTTTAACACAGTGTGATTTGTTTTGGTCCGGTCTGTACTCTACACTGTTGGCCGTTTTAGTTAGCTTCTGCTGCTATTTGTATCTGTATTTTTATTTTATGTTTTCCTGTCCGCTGTGCATGTTTGTTTTCTTTTGTACAGCACTTTGGTTGGCCTTGTTGCTGTTTTAAGTGCTCTATAAATAAATTGATATGGTATGGTATGGTAGGCGAGCGGATATCATGTCGAGGGGCAGTCCCTGCCACAGAGACTGGAGCCCCCATCCTGAGCTGATCTCTCGGATTTGGAGCAGGTTCGGCTGAGCAGCAGTGGATCTGTCCGCCACACGGGAGAATGCCCAGTGTCATTTATGGTTCTCTCTGAGCCCAAGAGACGACCCACGGTTAGGAGTGGACGCCTTCGCTCACAGCCCGTGGCCAAAAATGCTCCTTTATGCTCTTATATCAAAGTGGACAGCTTTTCAGCGCTGGTGCACGGAGAAAGGCGTGGAGGCCATCTCATGTCCACTAGGTGGCATGCTGTCCTTTCTGCAGCAGCTGATGGACAGAGATCTAGCGTTCAGCACAATTAAAACTTATGCTGCAGCTATTTCTTCCTGTCACGAGGGCTTCGGTGACAGAACAGTTTTTATCACCCGTTGATTAAGCGTTTCCTGAAAGGTGTACGGAGACACAGACCAGTGTCACGTCCACTAGCTCCACGGTGGGACCTAATGATGGTCCTGCACGCTCTGATCAAAGCTCCTTCTGAGCCTTTAGATCAGGTTTCACTTGAATTTCTGTCATTTCAATTAGTCCTGCTGTTAGCTCTGACGTCAACAAAGAGAGTGAGTGATTATCTGCTCTCTCTGTTGTTCCCTCATGTCTCAGAATTCAAGCTGACGGCAGTTCAGCTGTACCACATTTTAACCCTGCTCTGAAAAGCATCACAAGCTCATTCAGATAGAGAGTGATAACCTTGGATGGGTTTTTATCCTCTTCCTCATAATTCTGAGGAGGAAGCAACATCTCATCTCCTTCTGTCCCATGCGCACATTTTCATGTTACTTCCATGTTTCATGTTACGTGGTGCACACGACCGCACTGCGCCGCTTTCAGTGTATGTTCGTGCATTACTGGGACAGCTCTTCAGGACGTCCTTTACCCACCCAGCACCTCTCACTGGTTGTGTGAGGCTATTTCCGAAGCTTACGGTTCATCTGGACTGGATCCTCCTGAGAATCTCAGAGCACATTCCACCAGAGGGTTTTCATCCTCCATGGCTCTGCAAGGAGGGATGACAGTGGAGGATGATTGTATGGCGGCTGCCTGGTCATCGCCATGTTCAATTATTCATTTTTATCTATGTGATGTTTCTACTTTCTCCATGACCCATTCTGTTCTCAGGGTTCTGACAGAATGATTATTATTTGTTTCATGGAGCCTCACTTTTGAGCTCACACCTGCCTGCATGCAGTCGCAGTGTGAGATATTTATTATCAGTCACAAGTTCATGACTGCTGATTTTATGGTTATTAACCGGTTCATCCTGAGGAACTGTTGGTCTGCTCTGTTCATCGTTACACTGTTACAATTCATAACCTCTGTTGTTCCTATTCACAGCAGCAGGTCTGCTATCTCAGCCTTTTTCCTCACCAGAGATCTTTTCTCCGGTGCGTTCCTGCGCATGGAGCGCGTAATTACACTCACAGAAGGCTGAGTGATGAAATGGGTTTTTTTTTGTGTGCAAGCAGGTGCTTCATGTTGTGTCTGAATGGACCCAGTGAGGCATAGATTACATCCTGCTTCGCCTTTAACCCACTAACGATAGCCTTAAAGGGCGAAGCTTATACCAAGTAGAACGTTGGTTACGTACTGTAACCCCAGATTCTATGAGTATAAGCGCAGCCCTTTAAGCTCTGGGCCTCACTGGTTCCTAAATGGCTGAAGAAGAAAGCTATTTGGGAGCCGATTGCCCGGTCTCATCGTAATTTATACGGACCGGGGGTGAGGCCCACACACAGCAGGTGGGCATGGACTAAAGTTTTCAGTGCTGTGTGCGAGGGGATAAACCCACTAGCGATAGCCTTAATGGGCTACGCCTATACGCATAGAATCTGGGGTTACAGTACGTAACCAAGGTTTGTCTCTGTGTGTCCCTGTGATGGACTGGAGACCTGGCCATAGTGTCCCCTCCTCTTGCACAGTGATAGCTGGATATGGGCACCAGTGACTCCCGCGACCCAAAAAAATGACGAAAAAAATGACGAATGACCTTTAGAATTTACCTTTATCTGTAAAGACGGTGGGTGGATGAATGGATGGAAGGAAAGGAAGGGAAAGGAAAGGAAAGGAAGGGAAAGGAAAGGAAAGGAAAGGAAAGGAATGGACAAAGGAACAAACATTATCTGAATTTCTGGACAGCAGTTAGAACAAAGCTAAGAGGTCCTTTGTCATTTTTAAGAGCCATGCTAATAATGGACAACATCCAGTTCCTTCCATCACTGTGGGACAGTGGGTTTCAGGGGTGGGCCATCAAAGGTTCTTACACAATTCACCTACTTATTAATGGAACGTAACTCAAGTCATTTAGCCAACTTTAGGAACAATTTCAGCTTTCATCCAATGACCTACAGATATTTTCAAGTAAGACATTATATTTCAAATCAAAAAGAATATGAGATGGTGGGGAAACGTTGTAATAATATAGAACCTTTATCATTATTGCAGAAAAAACACTTTCTGATTAAAAGGCATGTTTCTAATTTATATTAAAAAGTGTCTAAAGGTTACATATGATACCACACAAAATTATACATTTTAAGGAAAATGGGAACTGGAATTAAATATAATAATTATTGGTAATTTTTTTACATTCAACCTTTAAGAACTTAATAGGCAATTGTGGAAATAATTTAACTGGAAATTAAAAATAAAGTATTTCAACCCACCTGTTGTGATCTCATCTTGTATGAAGGAACATAATGTGGGACTATTTTGGAGGAACTATGAAAAATTAGACCACATATATTTTGGGACTGCCCAGTAATTCAATAATTTTGTGGAAAAAAGTCAAAGATTTTGACAAAACTTTGCAAATAAATAAATAATTAGACCTACTGGTGGTTCTGTTGGGAAGTATGCATAAAGAAACAAATGGCTCAGAAAAAAAACCACATTAAGATTTATTTTATTAATTGCCAAAAAAAAAGGTAAGAGTGAACTGGACGAAAATTAAGTCACCAACCTTAACTGAGTGGGTACAAAGACTGAAATGTTTCTACATAATGGAAAAAATGACTGCAAGTCTTCAACTGAAACTCGACCATTCTGACCAGAGGTGGACCTGCAGTGTGACTCTGTATAGTGGGGGAAATGCTTTTGCATGTGCACTACAATAAATTGTCAAATAGTTGCGTTCATCTGTAAGTGAAAACGAATGGCATAAAACTCCTCATAAATGTGCCTTTTATCTCATTATGTAATGTTATTTTATTCTAGTCATAATTACTTATGAAGCTGTGAACCATGAGGTCCTATGTCAGTAAAATGTTATTTCTGTAAAAAAAAAAAATAGATAAGAATTAATATGGTGGTTACCCTCAATATTACCCTAAGCAACTGCCAATGATCTGAGTGTCCACCTTCATTGACTACATCAGTCCTTTTCACCTCCTATCACCAAATAAATAAAAAAAAGATGAAATCATTCACAACTATAAGAAGACAAGACTTGTATTTTAGTTTCTGCATCTAGATTTACCACATTCACCCTGTTTTCTAGCAAGGATAAAACAGGCCAAAGTTGGCTGGATTGAAGACTAGCTAAAGCTCCAGTCAGACAGAGTTTGGCCAATTTTGAACTAAACGTAAAACTCTGATGTCCCATTTCACACTGGCAGATTTCAGACAATCAGGACTCTCTGGATATGGACCCTCAGGAGCACTCGTTCACTCGCACCATTGACGAGGAAGCAGAGCTTGAAGAGAGAGCGGACTGTGAAAGAGAAGACAGTCACCAGGAGCAAAACAATGAAGAGGATGACAGAGAACATGAAGTGATGACAGCTGGAAGTAAGCACATCTGCCTGCAGCTGTGTCTGTTTTCATTGTACAATCTGGACTTCAGTCTTTTCTAACACCATGAAAGATCAGTAGACATGTAATGTCATATATCTGCTGACCCACTTTCCAGACTTTATTGAAACCATCAGAAAATGTAAATTACTTTGAACCACCGCCAGACGGAGCTTAGCTCAACATTTGTTATATTTCTGAGTGATAGCCAGTTTTGTGTTTGCTAAGGATAATTATTTGTGGTGGCTATCTTGAATCAGGGTGACTTCAAAAGTTAAACAGTTGTACTGTAGCTGTATCTAACAAAGTTTTCAGGTCCTCTGGACGGTTTCTTTTAGTTGAAACATTTCGTCTTTCATCCAAAAGACTTCATCAGTCCGAGGAGCCACAACAAACTCAGTCTTATAAAATAGCACCTTCTTTTGGATGAAAGATGAAGCGTTTCAACAAAAAGAAACCCATCTAGAGGACCTTGCTGAACATTGTTAGATTTTTCTACCTGGATTATTGAGCATGAATCAGGATAAGTTGTAGATGTTCTGATTGGTGGACTGGCGTGCCAGCTTATTGCTGCGTTTGTGCCGTCAGTTCTCGAAGGGTCGAGAAAGGGGGAGCTCTACGTTTGTATTGCGTGCTGTCTTGAGTCTCAGCGGAACAGCTACAATCTCCACTCCCTGTCCAGAAGTGGCGGAGCTGCATGGGGGGTGGGGGATTTGGTAGTTGGGGCGCTCTGTTCATTTGACAGGGCAGGGCGCACACCTTGAGTAGGGGAAACACTAGGACTTTAACAGACTACTCGAGTAATCGACACGTCGATTCCTAGGACATCTCGCGATTTTTTAAATTTCACGTTGAGTATTCACAGTTACGCCATTACATCACAGTTACGTCATTGCGTCACGTGTCACGTGATCTATACCATGCGCGTGCAGCTACAAAATGGATTCCTCCCAGCAGATGGACTGAGTGGAGCAGGCCCAGTCTTGACAAACAGGTAGAAATGTATCAATAGTCTGGAAATATTTCACTACAGATGAATCTTCTGGTTCAACTACTGTAAGGAAACAGGGAATGAATCAACTTCCTGACTGTTTGGAACTCGTTGTGAACTGGTGTTACACCATATTCTGTGACCACTATATATTTTGACCATAGGGGGCGGTGTTGCATGCACTGTTGCAGGACACAGAATATGGTGTAACACCGGGTCCAATCGACTGAACCAGAACCAGCTTCTCTGACCTTGTTTCACAAACATCCATCCATCCATCCATTATCTTTTACCCGCTTTTTCCATTTTGGGTCACGGGGGTTGCCGGTGCCCATGTCTAGCAATCACTGTGCGAGGGGCGGGGTACACCCTGAATGGGTCTCCAGTCCATCACAGGGACACATAGAGACAAACGAGACAAACAACCATTCACTCTCTCTCTATCATCTAGGGACAATTTAGAGTTACCAATCAGTCTAACATGCATGTTTTTGGTCTTTGGGAGGAAACCGGAGCACCTGAAAAAAAAAACACGCATGCACGGAGAGAACATGCAAACTCCACCCAGAAAGGCCCCCGGACCGGGATTTGAACCAAGGACCTGCTCGCTGAGAGGCAGCAGCTCTACCAGTTGCACCACCGTGCTGCCTTGTTTCACAAACAAAAAGCAAAAAATACAAATCTCTAAAGCTATAAAAAACATGTAAACATATTCATCTCTAAAACCAAACCTAATGTGCACCACCACGGGCGATGGAGCGGGGTGGTCGTCCGCCCCACTGTTTTTAGTTTAGATTTTTACGTGCCACACGTTTCTTTCACTTTTGCAGCTTAATAATAAAAACTAATAGTTTAGTTTTTCCTGTGACATTTGCAGTTTTATAAAGGGTAGGAGCAGAATATATCTTCCACTGTTTTGTTGGTCCTTTTGTTTTGTAAATAATAAATGACGTTTTTTGCGGTTTTATTTATTTATTTTTGCATTTTGAGATCCTATGATGTCATCAACTACTCGAGTTCTACTCAAGTTTTATTATGTTAATGTCGACTTTAAAAATTATGTAGTCGTGCAACTAGAGCTGGGCCATATCATATTGTTCACGATAATACCGGTAAAAAATGCTTGCCCGGGCAAAAAAATGACATCACGATATGCTAATTTCATGACATAATACGTCAGGGCGCCACGCCCCCTTAACAGAACCGAGCACGTCGAACGACCACTCCGACTTGTGCAACCCCCCCCCCCCCTCACCTGTCGGTACTGGTGTGACGCTAATTAGCTGTGCGCAATACTAGCTAGCCAAAAAATCTAAAAACAAACAACGCACGGCTCAGTTGTCTCTCCATCCAGCTCTAAACTGCAGGTACAGACAACTCCACTGTCTCTCCCTCCCCCCGCTGTTAGCTGCCACTCGTCTTTTTTGTTTCCTCCCCGCTCTGCTCTGAGCTGCCGGTGCAGACTGCGTCTCCCCCGCTCTAAACTGGCGGTACAAACACGCGCAGGTCTGTCTCTCAGTTCCACAGTCCATGGAGCAAGAACAGAGTCGTGATCAGAGACAGAGCAGCAGAGAAATGACTCATTCCTGCAGAAACAGAAGAAGCACCACAAGCTTCAGGGTCAGATGAAGACACCTTGTCACCAGTTCTGGAAGTTACAGCTCATTTAAAGGAAACATATATTTTGTTGTATGTTACATTTATGATCAACAGATCTTCAGCTTTAATTTTATTAAGTTATTTTATGAAACTTCACCTACACTGCATTGATCTATATTTTCTGCAGACTTTTTCAATCTAAATAACAGAAGGATCATTTTTATTCGTTCTTTTTATACTTTGAGACTGAATACTTTACTAAATAAGTAATTTCAGTAAAATTACCCCTTGTTTTTTATTTTATTTTATGTACTACTGCAAAACAACATGTTAAATTAATTTTGTCAAATCAATAACTATGATTTCTGGGGGGTTTTGATATCACGAAATTTATCGTTATCGTCATAATGCTCTGAAATATCACAATATTATATTTGAGCCATATCGCCCACCCCTACGTGCAAGCCCTAGGAAACACAGAGGAGTGCTTTGTCCACATGCTCTTTGTTGATTACTTTTTGGCATTTAATACAATCATGCCAAAAGTAATAATTAGGGATGCACCGATACACATTTTTTTTAACTTCTAATCCGATCCCGATATCATGATCATCATTGATTTTATATGAGGCTGTAATAATCTCCTCTCAAGTACAATTTGTACAAATATATGCATGCATGTCCAAAAAGGCAACTTAAGGTAAGTTTTATTAATGTTGGATAAGTTTTAAGTTATTATTATTATTATTTTAAATAAGGGGCATATATTAAAATAATTTTTTTCTTCTTTCTGCACTCTTCAATGTTTTTTTCTTTTTGATGAATGTGTTTTGTTTATTTTGTTTCTTTTAAATGAATGAATAAATTAATAATAATAAAAAAAATTAAATGGCTTCAAACACCGTCTAAGTTCATGGCATAAACCAACAGACATGTTCCTGTTTTTAGTATTTTACATCGCTGTATAATGTAGCTGTTTTTGTTCCATTTTTTGTTTCTATATATATAATTTTCTTGTAATTTTCAAATCATATGTTTTTTATGATTGTCTCCTGTTGTACTGATAAATATCTCCTGGAGGGTAAACTATATCTTGGCTGCAAGTATCAAGCTGAGAAATCCTTCGTTTTCTACAACTGATAGTGGTTGGTCATTAATTACAATTAGGGGTGGGCAATACAGCTCAAATATAATATCTTGATATTTCAGAGCATTCTGACGATAACAATAAATTTCGTGATATAACAAAAAAAAAAACTGAAATCATTTATTCATTTGACAAAATTAACTTAACATGTTGCGTTGCATTATTATATATAAAAAAAAAGGGTTAATTTTACTGAAATTACTTTTTTTAGTAAAGTATTCAGTCTCCAAGTATAAAAATAAATTAAAGCTGCAAGCAGCATTGGAGGCCCCGCAGCAAAGTGCTGCTTCGGCCTTATGGTGACCGCGGGAGCTCCAGCTAGTCCACCCAGTCGCCATTGCGAATGCTCTCGTGCCAATCCCGCATGCGTTCACCACAGGGCACATTTCCTGAATGTCTATCATCGCCTTCCGTCCATGTCGTTACTTGTCCAGCTTCAGGTCTTACAAGTATAGGCGAAATCTGACCTTCCAGACGGGAGTTATTGTGACTTCCTGTTTTATTGCAAATGTTTGACAAGCACTTCCTTTATGCTTTTCAACATGTCATGTGGTAATCAACAGTTAGTGAACAAAGTTTCAGTCTAATATCTTACACAGTGCGAAGCTGGAAGTGTCATCCAATAATCAACAGTTTTTTCTCTGAGTAGGTGGGGCTTAAGTGATGTCATGAATCAACAATACCAATGTGTCTACAAGTGTTCACTGATCAAGCACTAAAAAGTTCCAGATCAGATGATGTATCACTAAGATATAACTTTTGGATTAATGTAGGGGGCACACTGGAGTTTAGTGTTAAACAACAATACCAATGTGTGTAAAAGTGCTCACTGATTACGTACAATAAATCTGGTGCAGATTGGAGGATGTATCATTGAGATATAACTGTTGGAATAATCTTTGGGGCGCACTGGAGTCATATGTTAAACCACAACATCAATGTGTCTAGACATGCTCACTGATGACGGACAAAAAATCTGGTGCAGATCAGATGATGTATCACTGAGGTATAACTGTAGTAATAATATAGGGATCGCTGTGGAGGCTATTGGCATCTTATCATGGATTTCGGTTCAAAGGGATCGATAATGATCGATCATACTGATTTTGGTGCACCTCGGCTCAAATCTTTGGAATTTATAGCCAAACGTATTGCAATGGCGTCACTTCTGAATTCGCTATGCCCACATCCTCCTTTGAAAATTGTTTGTAATTTAAAGTAAGTCAGACCAACTTGTTATATGTCTTCTAATAC